GCCATGCAAGTGAATCCATTGAACAGATTACCCGTGCAATCCTGGCTGTTAAATCTGATTATATTAACACCGTCTTGTTTCATCGACACCTTTCAAGATGCAATTCGATTATTTCAGTGTATTATAATTGGATTGTATAAAACGGTGACAATATTCACTCAAAACATATACAGTACGCCTTAATGAATTACGAATAGCCTCAGCAATAGTTTTCTGCTACAGTTTTTTCACCTCAGACCTCCCTGAATTGTGTTTTAACACCCGTGTATCAATGATACTATAACAATTAATGTTCGTTTCCAAGGCTGATTCCGTAGTAAAGCCAGTAAGTAGACTATTTGATGAGATTAAATCATTAATCACATTAGTCCTCTTAGGAATACATTTAATTCAAAATAATGAGACTGAAAATACAAATTATCTGTGCTTGATTTGCAGGCATTAAAATAACGTGCCCAGACACAGCGATTTAAGTAAACATATAAATTGCCATTTCTAAGCTTTCTGCATTTCGAAATGGTTAACTGAGATGTTTTAAAGCGGGGGAGACGTCACCTGTGCATGCGTTAGATGGCTATAGCGTGTTATTGTTTACAAACAAGAGTCTGCCCATGAGCCTTTGCGTTTTTAGCGTGCGTTGTTATCGTCGCTTGGGACTCAATTCCCGCGCGTGCGCAGGTGACGACCCTCCCGCTTTAAACGTATGCTTTTCGTATTTTTAACTTAAATCAGAATGCAAATCGATTAACTTGGTGAATATATGTATATTAGTGATCAAGCAAAAGATTGTATTCAGTTTACTTGATATGGTGTGTCTGCAGATGAACAAATTTATGTAAAATTATTTAATAATCAAACACATATTGTCTGTCTTCGACTCAATCATTAATGTCACCAGTTAACAATGTAGTTAAGCTCAAGTATGTTTCCAATTTAACTTTGATGTTAATCAAACATGGGTTGTCACCAGCGACACATCTTATATTAGGTACATACTACTTTTCCTTGGCTTAATTGCCTACCCACTTGGTTATACTAAACGTTAGATGGGCCGTATGTAACATGGTCTCAATCATAATCAGTAAAATGTAATAATTGCTTTTATAATTCAATATAATATTTTGTCTGCAGCTGCCGGCATACATTGAGCGATGAGGAATGATTTTGCATGTTATTTGTTGATGTATTGCTCGCTTGGCAGGTAATTTCAAAAACGCTAAAACAATTTAACAAAATTTAAAATAATGACCATCACAGTCACTAGAGAGTTTTCAGGCTTTGCTATTGGCCATGAATCAATATTGTAATCTGCTCGCTGTTCTTGATTACAATATTATTTCTGGATTATGGCACAGGAAATGCCTTTGCAATTTGTCGCAACATTTAACGCGCGTGTACGTGATATATTACATGTTGATCAAATGTCGATTTCAATATGAGATCAGAATTGATTTCTATAGCTTAGGGTGAACTGTGATCAATATGAATAATATGTTTCGTGTCATAAAACTGACAATTTGATTATTTAGATTTCCCAATTCCCACAAACACACTCTCTCAATGATACTCACCACCCTAATCAAGTTTGTCTCTGACGTTGGAAACAGAGAGTAACCACATAAATACAATATATCTCGTCGTATGTTTTCATTCCCACAGTGTCGCTCTTCAGCTACCTCATACGAATCCCATCTAAATTGAATCAAGAAAAAAAACCTAGTCAACAGCAAAATGTCTAGATCTGTGCTTCCCATGCATGTTATTTCAGACAAATGATGATTAAACAACATGAGGCAGGACGTACGATGTCTCCCAATCATGCCCAATCCAATATTGAGGTAATTGAAAGCTTTCCGTAAAGGAAGAGTTTGACATGAGTAACGACTCTTAAGCTACACATATAATCAATAAGTATATATCATGCTTTAGCATTAAGTGAACAGCGTATGTTTCTTGGCGGTTGAATTGAATTGTTTTCATATGCATGTTAAATCATTTGATTTTCTAAATCCCTTGCAATAAATAAGAATACAGTAAGTGTCGAAAATAAAGTGTAATGTATAAATGAGCCTTTGCAGTCGATTAAATTGACTCGCCTTTTATAAATAGCTTATGTAGTTTCATAGAAAACTTTTAAGTTAAATTAATATTGCAGCAGGTAGCAACATTTTCCTAAATTCACAGCCACTAGTGACGAACGAGTTTCCTCTTTGGCCACTAAAATATGTTTTGCGAACTTGGAGAAGAGTGAAAACTTTAACTGAGGCCGAAACTAATACAGGAAAGAATGTATGCGTGCCAGGGAAAATTTCACCAATGCACCGCCATTCATCGCCATTTCAATTTGAATAAATAATGCTATTTCATTGGTTAAATAACTGTCATGTGATTATACAAACAAATCTTCAGTAACAAAAGTTTTACATCTGTGATACATAATAATACACATCTACTACAATAACATGAGTGTTTTTTGAAACGGAGTGCCAAACTAATACTCATAATCATAATTACGTATAATCATAATCACACTCGCTCCGTTAATGTCACGCAGTTTATAACGCAATAAGTGATTTTCCGTACAATTGCGAGCTCTCGCGAGATGCATGAAGAACGCGCGTCGAACGTCTGCCGCAAAAATCGAACGATTTGATTTTGAACTAGAATTTCTTTATTTCGTAGCTTACATTGACCGGCCGATCTTCGGCAGAGGAATATTGCTTCCGAATACCCTTACTTAATCGAAATTGCCTATCATCAAATGTGGACAGCACATTATTAAGCATGGAAATGTCCCCGAAATACTTTCGCGTTTGTCGAATCCTACGCGATGTTTGACGCGACTACGACGCTATGACCTTTGTTTGTCCTGTTTTTACGTTCGATTTCACGCACAACGCGTGATTCTCGCAGTGAACGGAAAATGGTCTATTCTAACTTGTAACCGATATCACAAATTTCCAAAATAAGCAAAAAATGTATTTTGGATTGTTGCGTCATTATTTGGTGCTGAAATAAGGGGTGTAGGTAAGGCATTTTGCGTAATTGTTTTTTATTCGCAATACAATGCCCTGACTGTTTTTAATTAACGGGGTCCTCGTTTTGCAGATACGTGTCAACTCATTTAGTCTTTTTGATCTCTCCCAAGGTTCTGTTTTATTGTTCAAGTGCTATTTTGTTCCTGTGCTTTTCCGCAAGTTATGGAATTCATATTTCACCGCCCTTTAATTTGTTGTGTCATTAAAATACTGTAAAGTTCTCACAAGCACGATCGTCGTTGAATAGTTTTCATTTCGCCATGATTTATGTCAATTATGGGTTCTGGATCGGCGTTTTGGCGATTATGCAAATGTGTATAACCGATTTAAGGAAACACACAAACATTCGTATAATTGTACTACATAAGAGTGTTGTAATATGCACAAATACAACACTCAGTAATGGAGAATCCTGTTTTTTTAACTGGATGAGTTTTTTTTTGTATATAATATCATCAAAGCTTACATTGAATATACATCCTTGTTCGATCTGTGAAGTGATTTATTTAAATATAGTACTGGTAATATAATGGTAGTAATTCCTCAATTATTGAGGAACGATATTATGACATTATCCAAAAATATTAACCCAATCTAAAAAGTTCAAAACATGATTTGTTGATGTGTGATTGAATACAAACCACACACTATTCATTTTTATTTTATTAACAAATTACTATGACATTATTAGTTACGATTTTATTGAAGTTTGTATTATACGTACTTTTAATTGAATCCACCGTGTACACATACACACACTGAGCACACATCATGAGCTAATGTATACATAAGCGTCGAAATCAATGATGTAAGGCGCTTTCAGCTTATTCCTGGAGTCATTTACATAAATAATGTGACACGCATGCGCAATTGAATCACAGATCAATAGCATATCGATGACTTCAATTATAGTATCATGTTTTTGTTCATACATTATCGGTGATGAAACGTTAACGTAATTGACAACGAATGTTGCGCAATCGAATTGTATCAGCTGCTGGTGCATTCATGAAATCAATATATATATTGGGCATAATACAACAATAGTCCTTCTTGAAGACATATATGCCATGGCTATGAGAAGACCTTATACAACTTTACATTATTAACTGATTTTTCAATATGCAAGTAGAGCTCAGCCCATATGACATTGTCATGAAAAAATACTACTTGATATTATCATTCACATGTGTTCTTTTGATTGATGCTCCCCGCCACAAACTAACTAATGAATTGACCTCTGCAGTTGATTTCCATTCTAGTCCCGGGTTATGCAACGTGTTTGATGTCTTATTGAGTGTCGGGATTTAAAAGCAGAACGTCACCCTAAAGGTGTAATGTTTTTTTGTCTAGCGCATATCAAGTGAATTTTATTCTAGTAGCAATCATTTTATATCTCATTGAGGCACGAGTGCCTCAGTTGTTACACTACTTCAGATATGCATTTTTCGACAGTACAGTATTATTAGGTGAATAAAATGCATGTTGTGAATGTGTATGCTAAAAAATATGCTTGGGAAATAGAAGCGCTATTTTTCGTGATAAAATATCAATTGTCAAAAACAAACAGTAATTGAATGCAATTAAAGAAATATATAATCGTTTGCTTTTCATCAATTTTGAGACGTTACTTTGATATATTGCTATACTCTCCGCAATAATTGATTGTATCATATCGAATGCCGTTGACATAATCTGAAATTCCTCCGCTTATTCTAGCTACCCCTTATTATGAATACATCAAAGTAGTCCGCGTTCCTGTGTTAATACTCCCCTACCAACATAATGAAACATTCCCCTCAGTGTTTGCTGTCCATTTAGAAAGCACACATTGGTTACTCGACTTCTGTAGTAAGAACATACTCTGTGGAATATATATATAGCGCTTTGTAAGTGTCTGTTACTAAATATATCATATCTAACACGACGGATTGAGTTTAGTCTTGCCACCATCCACTAGCCATGGCGGAATTGGACCCCGATATGTACCCGAATCTTGACGATATATGGCCGACTGATAAACCAGGCGACGACGATGGCGCACCGAGTGCAAAGACAGTGTTGATTGTATTGCTGTATCTAGTTGTGTTTCTAATAGGCGTCACAGGTAAGTTTATTTTACGCGTCTACATGATACGTACCACATGCTCTTAAATCAGTTCAAACAAAATATATAATAATCCCAAAATATGTCTGTATTGCTAAATCCATTCGCAATGTATTTGAATGCACAGTTATGAAACAGTGTGCGTAAGATATGTAATTATAACCTCAAGTCGTAATCTATATATTGTTTATGTATACATGTTTCTGAGCAGGTACATTGTTTTATTTGTCGAAATAGAAAACACTAAAATAGATTCTGAACAATATTTAATCGTGAACGTCACAATTTGAAATATTTATACGTCAATAATTAACAGTGACAGTCAAGACTCGCAACTGCATTATTGGCACTAAATAAAAAGCAGTATCCTGAAGGTTAATCTTTTAAAATAAGTATATCTGTAAAATAACATATGTGTATATGTATATATGTTGTATTCATTGTTTATATGTTGTGGTTCATTAATGATGAGACTTTTAAAATGTAAGTCATCTTTTCAATTCTGTCAGCCAGGGCAAAACATGCCACATACGCACTACCGAGACGCTGCTTCGCATATTTTAATATGGATGTGAACGATTTAGTGAAGTTCTTAAAACACAACATTTACTGGGTATGATAGTCAGAGACGTTCAGTTCAGTATGGCGTACCTTTTGACATTTGACAGACTAACACTAGATCATATTTCCGTACATTGAAAAAAATATGTTATCAAAGCAAGCAGGAACATGGTTATACTTCAATGAAAGCCCTTGCAATGGGAACTGTTTAAAAGACATATGATCCGGCCAAATGATATTAAACCTTGTTAATGTGTTGTGTGCGTTGGGGGATGGCACGCCACAATATTCACCCATAACACGTATCACAAAATATACATTTCTGAACTAGATAGCTTTCATATCTTGTACTAGATTTCTTCAGCACTCATATCAACACCCAACGGCCTTATATACATTTATACTGTTGCTTTTGATCTTAAAATGTAAGTATAGGAATATCAAACGGGACATGTTTGCATAGTATTAAATGGCAATGGCTATCTTCACATAGTAGTTATAGTGCGAACATACATACGAGAATTTTCATATCATGAGGAGTACATACGGGACCTGTGTGCCAAGTTTGAAGTTTTTTGATATTTTCCCTTGCAGCCCATTGTGTTTTGAGTCGCATGGGTCTGAAGGTCATGGCTATTTTCCTTTTACAGTTATTACGAAACATACATAAACGCATACTGTGACCTTTACTTCTGAACTCAAAATGTGGCAAGAATCTGAAACGGAACATGTTTGCCAATTTTGATCGCACTGGCTGTTTGGTTTACCTTTGATATTTTGCCTTTGTCGTCTGGGCGACATATAGTATATTTATATTATCCTCTTTGAGTTATAAGACGGACATACATACAAATACTGAACGATTCTCGTTTGCGCAGGTTAATAGCACAATATAAATTCACTTTACAGACGTATATAAAATGAAAGAACTGAAGTCGGATTACGTATTAAAAGATTTGTGTAAGAAACAAATTACAAAAATCATGAGCCTGGGGAAGGCATCTACAGTTATAATACGAACACACAATGTACATGTATACTTATTAACGCAGCTTTCATCGCGTCTGAAAAATATTCGCATAACACATGCCGATTAAAATGGGTATTGCAAATAAGAAACATCATCGAATACGTGAAATATAATTGCCTATTTAAAAAATTTCGGTATATATACCAATTTGCATATTACGTTTGCGAGTAATGTATTCATTTTGACATTCTGTTTCAATCATGTTCCAGAGTAGGTTTTAAAATTATAACGCTTTAGCTCACAGAGTTCATATTATTTCTATATGGAGTTGTTAGCATAATCACATGTTTTGTTTCCCAGTTACCCGGCATCGGTATACTAATAATGTTCATGCATTCGAGAGTAGATAGACGTTAGAGGCGAGGGACTTTCATCGAATGTTATGCATTTTTTAATAATTAATCCGACACATGTATGTCAGTTGTATGTCACTGTATGTCACGTCTATGACAGGATGAGTAGGTCGCGCATACAGGGAGGCAGTTTATCAGATTAACTAGCTTCTGTTCTATTCACATTTTGTCATTAACAAAAATAATGCGAATATATTAGTTGTAACTTGGGCAGTATTAATATTGGTATTTTACTTTCACAATGATCAACTGCATTACCCAAGAAGGGTTAATATTAAAACTGGAATTCCCCACAAAATAAAACATCTTTATTCTGTAATATGTTCACGACCACGACATGGTGTCCTATGCCAAACTGATTCCACTATGGTTCACTGTAACCTGGTCATGCTATGCATCCTAATCGGTAGCCGTTGATGATTTCGCTATTAACGAGTTTGTTTTAAATTCCCTCGAGATCGAACAAGCACATGTTATTTTCACACGACTGACCTCACACACAGAGAAAAGGAACTTAATAACCAGAGACATCCGTCATTGACTGCTTTCAATTAGATGCACAGAATAAAACAAATGAAGTACTTGTATTAATTCGTAAAAAGATATTGATCATGCGTATAATATATTACCTTAACACGATGCACGATTTATATGGAATGGTTTATTGTGATAAAATATCTGACTGAATAAATTTACAAATATTAACAGGCGAAACATAATACACGCTTATCATGTCAAGCCGATTTGTTTAACTCTAACAAGACGCCGTCTTCTGGCAGCGTATACACCAACTGTGAGTGTTTATATGTGAATCAAATATGTTATATGATACTAATGAGTATAGAGCCTACTCTATGACAGATGACAGTGTGATCTGAATAGCGCCGAGATTTAATCTAAATCTCGTTCATGTTTATTTTTTGTAAAATTCAAAGAGTGTACATTAAGTCATTATAGCAACCTTTGCGTTTATTATGTTCATGAAAATACTAAGTTCAATATCGCCCTAGTGACAATCCTTTTATTACATCGACTGTATCTATGTTTTATAGAATGTGCAATTTGGGGACAAAATGATGAATTTGTATATTTACGTGGTTACGAGTTAATTGGTGAACGACGATGAGTACGAATGTAATACAGTCTCCTTGCGCACATCTTTCTTGCAGGGCATGACATGACATGTTAAAATAATAGCACGAACAAATAACTGCTTTGAATGCACAACTATTCATACTTAATTACCAATTAACATGTGAATAATTAATTGAAAAACAAAAACAATAATTGCAATATCACATGTATTACGGTTTATTTAGCAATATTGACATCATATAAATGATATCGATAACAACATATTCGCACTTACATACGGATATTGTGCAGATTTCAGGAAAAAAAAATACAGTCATATATAAACACGTATAAATACAGGACTCTAACATAAAATAATTCTATTCAATACATTAACTTCAGTTAATACTTATTTACATTGCAAAACTACTGTAGGAAATGTTACTATCGAGAATTGCTTTACACCATGTAAACCAGTATGATCAAGAAATTAAATAAATGGCAAATACTCAATAAACACTATAATCTACATTATCACACGATTGATACGAATGCCGAGCGACACATGACTAGAAAAACACACACAACATAAAGCATTTTTAATAAGTATAATTTGCGAACACGTAAGATGTAAGCCTCGACAATGTAATACGTTTAAGCTTACAGAATTATATAATTGAGTTTTGAGTTTGAATATAATCTCGTGTTTTATGTTTTTGTTCGTATACCTTCCAATGCATAACTTTTAATGCTTTTTAAAGACACAATATATGTACATATAAATGTTAACTCATATGTAAAAGCGGTGTAATAATTGTATATATCTCCATACTGTGTAATAAAAATCCATGCAAGCAGATTACACTTTTGAAATCATTACTGTGTATCTCGCCAATACGCCAATATCTTATGATGTTGATGGTTTTACACAATAATCCGTGAGTTTAGAATTATATTAATTCGAATAATTCCGGTAGTTCAAATGTCAGATTTATTAAAATATGACCAAACGGGATTTCGCAGATTGAGTTGTATGTAAGGGTAGTAGATTCACTTTTAGAATTGTATTTTTTTGGAATACCGCCTGCGATGCGACGGATTGATGCATCTTCTAGATTATTGTTGAAATAATTCGACCTAAAATTGATTAAAACTGTTTAAAAAAACAAATTGTTCGATTGTGAATTATGTAAGTTTAATTTCTCTCATTTCAAAGTAATACATTTTGAAAACATGCTGTAATAGTTGGTGATATTTTAATCATATTCTATTACAGGCAATGCTTTAGTGGTAACGTTGGTGGCGCTAAATGACCACATGCGAAGTGTAACCAATATGTTCATTTCACAAATTGCTCTTGGTGACATCATAATGTTGATCCTGGCCATGCCCTTTGACATCATCAGTAAATATGTATATGAGGTAAGTTATTGTCATCACCTGAATTTTTTTTAATGTATATATTTATTCGTTACTCAGATGAACAGCCAATGGGAACACTTGACCCTTAGGAATCTAAATAATACATATTTGTCCGGGTAATTATGTTGTTCAATGAACAGTCTAAAGATTGAAAATTAAAAAAAGTATTAAGAGATCCACTCACAATCTTCCTGATGCCATCGAACACGCACACCGGTATGCTATGCCTTGAAATACATAATATATGCTAGCTAAGAGAAGAATATGACGACTATCTCTGGAGTCGGGTTGCTTATTAAAATGTACTTTGTTACTACAAATAATTGCACTAATTAAACTAACCCAAGTTGATGTACAAATCAAATAGTAATAGCAAATTTAATGATGCGAATGCAATATTAATTTTAGTTTGCACACGGAATAACTTCCTATTCCTATTTTGAATACCATTAACCATTATTTTTTGCTCACAGGATTGGCGGTTTGGAACTGCTGTCTGCAAGACTATGTCTTTTGTTAAAGACTATTCATTAGCAGTCGCAGTATTTACTCTGACAACCATGAGTATTGACAGGTGAGCATGAGAGTGATTTATTACACAAATTAGTCAAACATTGAATTAACATTACTGTGATAGCCCGGTGTAGAAAGCAACGTACGTTTCCGCCAACGCCAGGAAATGACAAGGATTTTACAGTATACCAGGCATGCAGAAATATTGACGGTAAACACCAAAATTATCTAGTATGTGAAAATTACTTAAGATTATTTTACTATACACTCAATATTGGTAAAATACAATACATATCTCAAATATCAAGAACTTATGATTATTAATTCTCCAACGTAACGGTATGTGACTAGACTATAAATACATGTAGGAATGTATGATGACTGTACTCATTAACCCACAGAATCAGAGATAATATGATAATATGCATATAATATCACCGGCATTCCTGCCGTGTTCAATTCATTACAAACTGAGGTCAAGCATTTGGAACATTTTATGAATATATTATCTTGAAACCAGACTACGGATGGGCTTTAAAACAACGAACTATAATTCAGGTAATTTGACAGTGGCTTCAGACATGCCACCAACTCGCACTAATTATTATATAAATCACATTCTCATTCTCATTCTCGAACTCAATCATAGTAGTACTATTATCATTATTCGGAGTGCTTTCCCCTTAAAATAGTTATTCAATTTCAATATGCTGCCATACAAATCGTAGGCATGGGGATTTGATATAAATATGTATGCACGCAAGTAGCAATGCACACAAACGTAGTCAGTCAGCGATGTTCACGCACATTGCGGTTCTTTAATTAGCTGTAGGTTTGAAGCAGTCAGTCGACAAAAAACAAACACTTTTCTTGAAGCAATTGCTGAAGGCGGCAGAGAACGGCATAGCAGATATTGAGCATTTGTAACGTACGACCAGGCGTAACACAGGTTAAATTGAATTGGAACCCAATTGTCCTACAAGCAACGTGACAACACCATAACTATATTACACCTGCCGACTGCTAGAGGTATTGTAATGAATGACTACCTTTAAAGAAAAGGTGTGGGGGTGTCTTCTTAATGATAAATATAATCGCATTCTTAAAAATACGAAACTAATTAGCACAATACACAAAAATACATATAAATTCGAAGGAATATGTCACAATTAAATATACTCGCAGAAATGCATTATATATAATGTGTTTAAATAAATTCTGCTATAAGAGGTTATAACTATGTTTTGTTTACAGGCTTTTCACACTGTCTCGTGCATTGAGAAAATATAGCATTCGCACGATGAAGAAGTTTTTCACTGTTGGAGTTATCATTCAACTGCTCTCCGTGACTGCTGCTATTCCATCGTCTACCTTCAGTGATGTGTTGCATGAATCTACAGCTGGCAATTTAAATGCAAGCAACGCCAATTCGTCAACCCATGTGTGTGCTCTGAATATGGGATCTTCTGGTTTGCTGTCAATGTCTCTCTCGCGTGTATTCCTCTTGTATGTTTCACCACTTATAATTATCAGTGTGTCATTCACGAAGATTAACGCGTTTCTTAGATCGACGGAAGCCCAGGTTTTGCTGTCCTCAAATCAGAAAATCATGGCTGCCTGCAAGAGGGCGCTAAACTTACTACTAACGTTGGTCGGATTATATGCCTTTTTGCTTCTACCAACCGCCATTGACACCATTGTTAGATCGTTATATTACAATAAGTGGTCTTCCCTGTACCTTTTCCTTGTCGACACTGCACTGTATGCTATCTGTGTCTATAAACCGGTCGTTTACTCTTTATTGAGCACGAACTTTCGACGTGGGTTTCATGAGCTAATTTGTTGTGTGAGGAGTAGCTCCAAAAAGAACATGTTTGACAGCCACGATGACACTTCAACACTGGACACCAATGCATTATGGTTTAACAGTGATGGCAGCGAAAGCAGTGTGGGGGATAGAGTGTAAACCATTGGAATCTGGATTATAAAACAAAATTCACAATATGAAAACATCTCATCCTTAGTATCTAAAATTGTTACTGACGAATCTGTTTATAGTCACACATAGAAATGTTTCATAGTGGTATGCTATTCACTTATAACGCAGCTGTCATCATAGCCAGATGTGTTAGTGACCATATTATCAAAAAAAAATATCTGTATAAGCTTCGTCTAATACTTTTGAATTTGATTAATGTCACCAGTTCCCAAGCTGACCTTGGAGGTGAAATTAAACTCTACTCGGCCTATCAATCTATGAAAAGATATCCGGAACATAAAGCTCGCTTCTAAATAATAACACCACGTATTGTATTTGCAGTTTCCATGAATGGTTTATGAATATCGATATTTATGTTATTTATAGGATAGTAACATTGCTTACATCTATACGGTTGGTCTAGATTCTAGTACATTAATTTGTTCTTGTCAAATTATATGTATTATTTTAACGCGTACGTAGCTAAGATGGATGTAACAAACCAAACAGAACAAGTTTGTTAAATGCACTCTGACGTCATAGACCATAATTTATATTCAGATCACGCAGCGTACATACAATTAAGTAATTTTCATTAGGACCTCTGTAGAAGCGAAATGCATTAAAAATTCAACAATATACATACTATAGGCTTGAACCATTGACAACAAATTTCCCACCAAGTTATGTTTTGTAAGTTTTCTTAAAGATGCCTAATGAGGCTGAATTTCTAATATGAGTTGTAAAGTTATTCCATAGCGCATCCCTCTGTGACGTTAAACGTCCTCTGATCCATATTTGTTTTCCCATTTAGAAATGCATAAAATATTGTTAAGGAAGGGGTTTGGGAGATGGGTCTGAATATCTCACTTAAATATAAAGGCACCAAGCCAGCCATTGGTTGCCATATACATATCTAGGAAGTATGGAAATCTGTAGTCAATAGGCAGAATACCAGGTAATTTGAACAGGGCAAACGATGATTGACTAGAGTTATCATAAGAAATCACAAGAACTGCCCTCTTTTGGAGATAATGCATCCGGCATAAACTACGATAAAGACTTTCCAACTTCGATATTGTGAAATTCTTCCGTTGTTTGGCCAACAAAAAATGATTACTCCTATGATGAGTGTTATTTCATCGGTGTGGAAACTAGATGAATCGAGTGATCCGCCACCGACTTGTCTGTGTCCCTAGCATTCAAATGAACCTTGTCGGTATTAGTGATAATATACCACAATAGTTACGTAATATTATGTCATTGTCAATAAAATATACACCATTGTTTTCAACCACGCGTCGAATTGATCGGTTTAATGAATTCACAGTTGCATGCAGTGTCTCTTGGACACAGCTGGATTAATAATTTTTACTCTGTTTTCCGGATGATGAACAATATCATGTTAAAAAATAAAACTCCCAACATCGTTAGCTCCACAATAAATGATAACCGAGTCGCTCTGTGCAATAAATTCTGACATACACACCTGATACTCTTTTCAATACACCTGAAAACATCTGTAAAAAGCGCCCTGACATGGCAATAACTTCGGTATTGTGTAATTTACTTGATTCAATATCAAGAATCAGATGAAGATTCATTTTGCGAAGCTGGCGGTGGAGTTTTGTTTCCGTACAGCCATCCTTAGAACTAATCTTGGATTCAAGGTTACGTAATCCGCTTTCCAAAGCTAGTATATTTTTGTTTTGCTGCACAAATACATTTCTTCTAAATCATTTAGTAGAGTATCGATTACAACGAGGGTATAATCTGCTCGTCGTCGATAGTGGTAGTTCCGATGTAAAAAAGGGCGGCTGCCGTGGAAGCGGTACTTTCAGAAGGGATACTAAATCTACGTTGATTGCCTATTTATAGGCCTAAATGGTCCAGATTCAGGGACACCACTCGGGTTTCCACATGAGCCAATCAGAATGTGTCTTTGCTAGCAGCTGTCTCACGTAGGCAAGTCAGTAGATCATAAACATCTTGTGCTATTCAAATAACAGCACACCTGGTAGATTCCAATTGTCCTTCCAAAGTTATAAACATCCTTTGTTATGTAAATCTCAAGCACACCTGGTAGATTAAAATTGTCCTTCAAGAGTGGTAAGCAAATAGGACCTATCAATCGGCTTTATGACAGTTATCTCACGGCAATGCACACTGTTTCTTTACATGATTCCATGCATATTTCCATTTGCAGGGTTTGAGGTAATAATATGACAAAAACACAAAATAAAGGATGCTGACAGGGACCCTAATAAATTTGTTACGTATTTCGGACATGTCACCAATTAGCGAGAGTAAGCACCAACTGACACTGATCTTAAATCGAGTTAAAATGCTTTAAAATTGTTGAAACCCTGTAGCTTCTGGTGTATTTCCTGAAAGAGACACATACATACTCCTAGAGACGAGGCTTATATAGTGGTTTGTATGAAAAGGATCAATGCATGTTCACACATAGCAAATATGTTACTGTGCAACTATATCTGAGATGTGATGTTCATGTAATCCGTACACAAGTAATAATAAAAGCTCGCTCATTCAATGTTAGGGCTGAAGTTAATAGTCATACTTACAATGTCATTATTTTTTATGACTCCAAAGATCGTTTAGAGTGAAGAGATAACGTCAAGCATTACTAAGTAATTTACATGACACTGAAACAATTATAATTAGCGAAGACTTCAGTTGTACGATTAATTCAATCCATGAAAGAAATAGCCAAAAAGGCTTGACAAATGACTTTCTCGAACAAATAATTGCAGTCATATGTGGTGTTTCAATACTCCATTATTGGAGGACGGGGAATATTGTTAATTTATGATGAGATTTATGGCAACTGTAAATTATTAGTTACGTTCCCGGCAATTAAATTAAAATTTAAATCGCAATTTAACGATACAACAACACTAATTGTGCTTGAATGCAAGCAAGCGCCGAAAGCGGAAAAACAGACTACTATCACGGAATAAGTGGTTACTTAATCAACTTATTACGTCTCAACTTCAGGGTGCTATTGTGATATCGCTTTTCAGCATCTGAATGATCGTGATGCGCAATATCCGTCTTTTAGGAAATTCATCGGTAAAAAAACTCCAACTTATCATGAATGATGGCACGCTTACTAATGAACGAGCTGCAGTTATGGATAAAGTTCAATCATACCATACACAGTTGTACACACTCATCGACATTTGTGAGGAATCACACTGCTTACTACTTAAAGACTTGCCACAAGTTGATTCAACAAGTAAAACTGCTCTTGATAATTAGTTTTGAAGAGTTGACTGAGGCTACTCGCCAATTGAATAACAGTACTGCCGAGGTTTTCAAGACATTTTGTCTATTAATAGGCCGTGATTACCGTGTAAGTATTCACCAAGTTATTTCAACAAGGCTAAATGCCTTTGTCATGTCGCCGTGTTGTACTGGCTTGACTACCTAAGAATGTGGAAAATAGTTCTTTGTATGTATAGATTGAGGGATTGCTAAAAGGGAGCGATGTGATCTGTTTCAAGACTAAAGAAAAACTGCTTTATTTCACAAACTATTACCTTAGTGCCACTAATTGTTTATACAGCTGAATTAGAAAGCCAGTGTCAAGATAGTTAATAAACATAAATGAATCGAAACAGTTGTTTATGTGATACAAATTCTCGAATACCATCTCCTAAACATACATTATACGACAAAGAATAGAGATAATAATGTCATACACAATTGGCGGCCTGTGTCACTTCTTTTGCGAATTAAATAATACATAATTAAATAACTTACATCTTCGCGCTGTGTTCAGTCAAATTTTACACACTGATCAAAGCTATTCTGTAGAAGTATCTATGACAACATCAACTTGGTGCGAGATTATTATGCTAATCAATATTATATTCCTCTTGCCATCGTGTTGTTAGACCAGGGAAAGTTTCTTGATTCTGTACATCACGACAGTTTGATTAATGCGCTACATGGTTTGGGATTTGGGGACAATTTTCCTAAGTGTGTGTAAAAGGTTATGGAGACCGCCCTCTGGGGATTTGTTGGAGTAATCGCGGATTGAAAGTGTAAACACTATTGAAACATTAAATTACAGCACTGGAAACAATTTGCTAGAGAAGGGTTCGTGTACTTGTCATAACCATGACCCCACCCGGACACTTTATTGACGCAAGTTCAATGATTTTGAAAAGGCAAACACTAGGTGGCGCATGGGATGCTTTACTTACTATTGGGTGAAGGACTTGTGCATATAAAGTCGCAAATAAATTCAGACTCAAATTATTATTATTATGTATTTATGATATTGGCCTGATCAGCCCAGCTTCTACTTCATTGACCATTAACCAACATTTGCAATTTTCTGAATTTAGAGCATCGCCCACGGAAAACTACTGACGCGCTCAGTTCATGTGTACCTATACACACTCAACGCATAATTGGCCATCATTTCAATTGCTAACATAGTTATCTGCACTACACATGTTAATAGTTGTAATAACCCTGTTCGTGCCGATCCGTCTGACATTCTCTTTAGCAGACACACAACAAAATTTAATTGATTTTAATATTCTAAGATTAAGTGCCTTAGTTTGAGAAATGTTGGTGTCATAATGAGGTTTTGTGTACATTAAATGAGACTCAGTGTTTAATTTGAAGAGATTGTCTCCAATTTTCTCTTTAATGTAAACAGTAATGTAATATAGAATAGATAAACTATGATTAAATTGTATTAAAAGTTATTTTGAAACTCAAAATCATCTTCTATTTCTTCTTACGCCGTGCCATTGTGACTCAAGCCTATGATAAACTGATTTGATATCCATCTTATATTTAATTTAAACAGGAAGTGGTCATTTTGAAGTATTTCTGAGGATTCTTAATCTGTTGTAGTCACATTAATACATTGACTACCGACTACATTGACTATATAAAAAAACCCGCTTTGGCTAACACTGCCGACATTTCATTAATATCATTCATGT